AAAATCTTTAAACTCGGCGAGCATATATATATATTGATCCTTAATATATATAAAGTACAAAAGATATTTTATCCTAACTAAATATATTTTTTTAAATTTATAATTGGAAAATACAAAAGAATTACCTAGAGGAAGAAGGGAAAGAAACGCTGCGGTAACCTGGGTTCGGGTAAACCTACAGGCTTGTTCCCGAAGGCCTAAGGCAAGTGACATAAATTTTCAGTTATTAAAGCTATTTTTTTATAATTATTTGTCAAATATTCAGATTAAATCAAAAGCAAGGGGTAGAAGGAAGCACGTGCGTAACTCGCGACTTGCTAGGGTTTTCATTACATCCCCCTATGCGCTGTGCGTCATTCACAGAGATACTCAAGTATCCACACGATATGTTACAAAACCTCATCTTGGTACCAGACGGGGCTCTTTCCACATGCTGAGGGAAGAGTCTTAGGCTATTGACTTCTACCTTCCGCCTTTCAACCATCTTTTTAAGTTCTTCTCTAAACTTAGGTACAAGGGCTACTGCTTCTTTGCAGGATAGGGTGATCTCTGTCTCCTCGAGTAATTTCTTTACTACTTCGTCTATCGAGAACCCTTCCTCCGCTTCGGATCTCAAGACCAACCTTCTCTTCTTTCCAGCAGCTTCATTTCCTTTCCCTTCTTTCAGTCGGTCCTTGGTCCCATCTATCAGCTGGTCTAGCTCTCTTTAAGCCTTCTCTCGCTTTTTCTCGTCAACCTCTTTTTGGCTGATATGAGATACATTCAAGCTTTGACTTCCAGGATTATCATCTCGAGCCACTACCTCTAGAGGTAGCATACCATTAAAAGTGATAACATTAACTTTAGCCTTCTTCTTTTTATCCTTATTGGCGCTAGCCTGTTCTAGGACAACTGCTCACATCCCTCCTTCACTCGATAATCTATCTTGTTCCAATTGGCATCACAAACGTGCCCATTGGCATTCTTCTTGACAATCCCTTCTTCGAGTTTCTTCTCTAGTAAAGAACATCGAGCTATAGTATGGTCTTCCTCGTCACAATAATAACATCCGAAGGGGTCATCTCTCCTTTGCCAATCTCGGCTCTTATTATCTTTCTTCCAATCCCGGTCACGCTTCTTCTTTTGTCTCTCTTTTCTCCTTCGCCTAGCGTCATCATCACTACTCTCGCTCTCTCTCTCACTCTATTTCTTTTGCTTTTCCTTCTTTCTTTCTACCTTACCTTCTTCGGTTCCAACAAGTGCTTGAGTTGTTGGGGCAAGAAGGGTTAACTTTTTGAAGTTACCAAGCTTAACAAGAAAACCAAGGATCTCTTCGGCCTTCAAATTTCCTCCCTTAACTGCCTCAACATTTCCTTCTCTTGCACTAGTGATTGCTTTCATCTATTCCAGAGACCACTTCCGGTTTGACACCGAAGGTAGTTCACGGGTCATCTCAACTACTTCATCCCACTTCAGAGAATAATGAGCAGCGCGACTTACCACACTCTTTCTTTCATCTTCTGCAAAATTAGTTAGCACGACATGACATTTCTGGGCCTCATCTAGGAAGGGTACCCTCCGCGCAACTGGCTGAAAATCCTCTAGGAATTGATCAAGGGTTGCATATTTAGAGCGTCGCACTTCCAACAAATTTTGCATAGTTGTTGGAACGTCATACTTCGCATATTCTTCCAACATCTTTTGTCTAACATCGACCCATGTTGTCAGTCTTTGTGTCGTTTTTGTCACCGACACCCTCATCTTAGGCTCAACATGGCTAGTAGAGCTTTCAACTTCTGTTTATCCGACCAACCGTGGCTCATACCGAAAACATCATAATCCTCCAGGAACTCCCTAACTTTAGTTCCATCAAAGCAGGGTATGTTTTCTGGAGGTACCTTAGCTCTTGGAAGGTCTAGACGAACATTCATAGTGTCCATCCAGGTCTTCATGACCTCTATCCTTTTCAACATTTCTTGTAGAACAGTGGTAGTGTTTTCTTCTCCGTCACCTGCGGAGGAACTAACAAGGTTTTGTCTTGCGTCCGGTCCCCTGACGATCTTGTTTGATTTACTGGTTAAACTCTTATTTCTTCCTAAACCTTTTCTCTCTTATGATTGCGCTTAAAATTGGTTCTCAGTTTCTGCCGTCGGTAAAACTTACCAGCAAAATCGGTTCGGGAATCCTATGAAACACAATCGGTGCTATGTTACTAACTACTCTTGCTCCTTTCCTTTCTAACTCTCTTCTTTCTTGATCAATTACACTATTGATCCAATTACAAAGAGATTCACGATCTGTCCCCTTCTATCTTAGTGAAGGGACATAAGGTCGGATATCATATTCACTAGTGTCGAGGAACTTCACTACAAGGACATACGCCTTCCCAGGGCATGTTTTTCCTCCACGGATATGCAGCCCTCTATCTTGTAGGGGAAGACTTCTCCACTGGTAAAAGGAACTAAGGCGTCTAGTGCTGCCGTGACTGCCGGACAGTAACCAGACATTGCCTAGTCCCTAGCGACCCCCATAATCCTTCTTTGTCTTTGATCCGTCTAATCCTATCTAGTGCCTGAATCACCAATGTTGACATTACTCCACTTCCTATCTCTCAAAACGGCATTAAGGATAGGCTCCAAGTCCTCACCATTGACGAAACTATCTGGAATAGGAGGACTTGGAAAACCCTCGTACTCAGTAGGCTCCACACTCCAGGTAACTTTCTTACCCTCCTTCACGAGTTCGTCTCTATATTTACAGACGCGACTAAGTACCCACTCGTGACACCCAGTATACCGCCGTCAAATCTTCCTAGTCACTGGAGTGTATATACGTGCGTCATATTCATTGGTCTCTAGGAAGCAAGCTACTAACACATACACTTTCTCCTCTACCTCTCAATCTCATAAGGAAATACTCCTCCTACCGTGAGGGGCTCTAAATCCCTGAGTAAATGCGAGATGACCAAAAAATTAATATCTGGTAGTTCACTTCCTTCAACCTTCTCCGAACTATGCTTGCTTCGTAGGAAACCTGCATACTCCTCAGACATAACAAGCTCTTTTTCATTGTCAGGTGAGGAAAAATTCAGGAGAGGCTTCGCCTTGAACTTCGAATCGTCGAACAAAGGTATCGAAAAACAAATCTTCGGTCGCATGACTAAGTCATTCTGTCTTGCCTTACCAACCACGACAATAGCTTCTAGAATAGGCGCCCAGTCTCTTCTGTCAGCGAAGCTATCCGTAGTCAGAAAACTAGGGAGTCTCTCGAATTGCCTGACTCGTTTCCCCCAAGTCACTTTCTCATCGAAGCTTCGAAGCAGCTCCCTTACTCTTGAGAGATGAATGTACACTCTCCTCAGACACTCTAAATAACCTCCTTCTTCTTTTATTCCTTCCCGAGAATAAACTCTCATGTCAAGCTCGTCGGTCTTGAGAAATCTGACCAGTGAAACATAGAATACTAAACGTCATTCCTTACAGACGTCGTGTCTCAATATCTCGAACATGCTATCAGTCTCAGTTACTTTATCTAAGCATCCTCTACCAATGGTTACAGTCACAATTGACGTAGAGTTTTCACATTCCAATATCATTGCCTTGGGTTACTTCTAGCGCCTCTAGCCAGACTGTCCGCAGGATGCTGTCTAGATAGGATGGCCTCATCTCTCGCATGTAGCATCACTCTCCTGCCATCCGAACTCTTGCAATCTAGCAAATGCTTAATCTTAGTCTGATCCGTAATTGCTCTAAAAGCAGCCGCCCGCATAAGCTCAGGGTAGTATTCTACCATGCTGATCTCGTCATGCCTACCTAACCTAGTGTCGCATCCTCTCACGGCCCCGATGACAGTCGCTCGTTGCTCATCTAGATAGACCTCGAAGCAGAAACTCTCTCTGTCATCAGGAGGGTAGAACACTCGGTCCCTAAGTACCGCATTGAGGATTGGTCCCCGGTCCTTCCCGTCGCATAAGCTAGCAGGCACAGTTGGACTTGGAAACCTCTCTAACTCTCTAGGCAGGACACTCCAAGTCACTTTCTTCCCTCGTTGTCTCAGCAACAGCCTTTCATCCAGGACATACTCAGCAGCAGTTATCAAATATGCCTCGTAATCCATCCCTCTCCTTGTCTCAGCAGCTACGTATGGCCTCACATCATAGTCATCCGTATCAAGAAACCGAGCTACAATGACGTATAAGATTACTGAGTCGTGCTCACAAGTCACACACCTCTCAATGACGTACGGGAAGGCACCCCAGCCGCGATCCTTGTCAGCGCCTCTATCGCTTTCGTTACTACTGACATTGACTACTTACCAGGTTTGCCTTCTCTGTGTTGCATTGATGATTGACTGCCAGTTCCTACCATCATAAAATCGTTTAGGTACTGGCGCGGTACGAATCATCTCATAAATCCTAGGCAGTAAGCTCCAACTCGCTTCTATCCCTGACTGTCTCAACTGATCCCTCTCGACTTTGACACACTCCATTGTGACATCCCAGTTGGTAAAGAAACTAGGGTCCTGATCAGCTCCCTCTAGGATATAGGGTCGAATATCATAGTCATCAGTATCAAGGAATCTAGAGACAAGTAGTCAGGGTTATCCCTCCTGCCAGCGGGGACAAGTAGAAGGCAGTCACACTTTGTTATACAGCCGAGTAGTCAGGGTTATCCCTCCTGCCAGCGGGGATACGGCTTAGAGTGAGGCGTTCGGGTTTATCGCCTGCAATTGACCCCGTATAAAGGATAGACCCAAGGTTACCGGAGTCCCTATCATTCAGTTGTCCTTCAAACTGCCTTGAGTGTAACCTGTGTAAAATAGGGAGGAAAATAACATACATGCATCATAGAGTAATTGACACTGACAAAATGAGAAGACCAGAAACCAGACTCTGTGAGAGTATGACCAGAGATACAAAACTGAAGAGTTGTACACAGTGTATGCAGGGAGCAACCATCAGAGGGCTGCATTCACTAATAAATAATAATACCGTAAGACATCATAGTGACTGAAAAGAGAACCTCGATCAATGATAATAAGCGGTACCCCCTCGTGAGAAAGTGCTGTCGTCTGGGACTTCATATCTGGCACCTCGTCATTGAGAACCTGCGTCGCTACAGACTCCGAAACCACATAGCTGATCTCGATAGGCGTTGCTGGATCGATCTTGCAGATATAGGCTATGCATTTTGCCATCTCCTCGTCTGCGACACTTCTGAGATAAAGCTCCTCCGCAAGAATGATATCACCTGAAGCTCCAATCAATATCTCAATACGCCCTCTCACACCAGAGTAAATGTAGGAAACCTCAAGAAAACGATCTCCGTAAAGAGGCTTTCGATAAGCCAGCATAACAAAGTCTGTCCCAACCAAATGACTATAACCATCTCCGAGGTATGGAACCGCGCCCTCCCCACTTGGGGGACCAATAACTGTCTCAGACCTAGGGTCGTTTGACATGTAGGAGTCAATCACCCTCAAGAAGATACCGTGCAAGAAGATGTGTGATCCTCCTTAATGTCGCCCTCTGACGTCTCCGCTCGCTGGTCTTCAGCGCTCCTGTCGTTGTCTACGAACTCAACCCCTGTGAGTGTCCCAGTCGAAATAATCGCCAAGATCAAGGTCACTTTGAGAACAGGGCTCCAAATCCGGCTCATCTGTCTCTGATTTTGGGAACGCATGTAGTGATTTGGTCTCCGGATCTGGTTATCTATCTTTGGATCCGGCCGTTCTTCCGCCTCTTCCCCTTGCTGCGGGGCTCACTAAGGGGCTTGGGGTTGCATCCGTCAAAATCGAAGAGCACACCCCCAGGAGCTGAAGGTACGCGAGGAAACACCACGTGCAGCCAGTTGTCCCTCCAATAGCTCTCCCTGCGAAATATGTAATCAACAATCCTGTCGTATGTGGTGCCCTTCACTCCTGTCTCTGCCCCCTTCACCGAGTAGGTGATGACGAGCGGGTGTCTCGAGGTCGAGGACTCATTAGCCCTGATAGTGAAACTCTGATGTCCCGCATGTCTGTAGCAGAACCTCTCAATCAATCTACCCCACTTAGGGGCAGTCTCATGGTGATGGGCCAGCTTAAATAGAAGGTGCACTCTCGCTAATGCAAATACTCCCTCCAAGACGTGGCCAGATAGCAATCAACAACTCAATGTGGAGGCCTGTCTGAATGGCCTGACTGAATGGCCTCACTGAACTGCAACTCGATATAGGGCCCGCCTGAATGGGCCTGGCTCAACAACAACTCAATATAAAGCCCTCCTGAATGGGCCCGACTGAACAGCAGCTATCTCAGAAGAAAGGGTCCGCCTGAAGGGGCCTGGCTGAAAAACTGCAACAATCTCGGGAAGTGGGCCCGCCTGAAGGGGCTCGGCTGAACAACAACGATCTCTAGTAGGCCCGCCTGAAAGGCCCGGCTGAACAGCAACAATCTCAAGTAGGCCCGCCTGAAGGGCCCGATTGAACAGCAACTGGTCGGTAAAACATCTCATGAACAGTGACCAGTTATAGATGCTGAATGTACTGGGGCCGGACTGACCCAAATCACTTGTGCAGGGACTGAACTGCCAATGCTCCCTGTGCGAGGGAAAATATCACGTGCATGAGGTGTTGCTGATCAGCAAGGAAATAAATCAACGGGAGTGTGCGTGTACTCAAATGACAATTCCCAGCCTGGGTGCACATAGGCGCGTACTCTAATGCACTCAAATGATAATATCCAGCCTGGGCGCACACATATCCAGCGCAAGTGCACATGGGCGCGCGCTCAAATAACGAAATTCAACCTGGGGCACATGGGCGCAAACTCTAACAGCAATGCCAAGCTTGGGCGCGCATGGGCGCGCACTCTAACTACAATGCCAAGTTTGGGCGGGCATGGGCGCGCACTCTAACTGCAATGCCAAGCTTGGGCGCGCATGGGCGCACACTCTAACTGCAATGCCTGGCTTGGGTGCGCAATATAATATCTGGCCTGGGCGCGCACTTTAAAAAAATAATATATGGTTTGAGCGCACGCGGGCGCGCACTTAAAAAAATAATATCTGGTCTGGGCACACGGGGGCGCGCACTGAAAATAATATCTGGTCTGAGCGCACACGGGTGAGCACTTAAGAAATAATATCTGGTCTGGGCGCACGCGGGCGCGCACTGAAAATAATTATCGGATCTGGGCGCGCGCGGGCACGCGCTTTAAAAAATAATATCTGGTCTGGACACACGCGGGCGCGCACTGAAAATTATTATCTGATCTGGGCGCGCATGCTCAAACTGCAGTATCTGGTGCAGGCTATTGGTACCCAAAGTTCGCTGGTCAGAGTAAAGTTATCCGATACGGGTTCAGTTCAAACAAGGCAAAATCTTGACATGAGAATGTGGGCCCCACAATATCATCCACAATGCTCGTCTGAGCATGCAGTTCTGAAATCGCCAAGTGCGCCCGAATGCACAGTCTCAAAACTCGATAAAGTTATCTGCAGTGTGCGTCAGGGCGCACGGTCTCCAAAGTCAGTTGTAGTGCGCGCCTGGGTGCTCAGTTCCGAACTCAAAGAAAGTTGTCATCAATGGTGCGTGCCAGAGAGCACAGTTCCGAACTTATCAGCGGCGCACGCCAGGGTACACAGTTCTGAACTCACCAGTGGTGCGCGTCAGAATACCCGGTTCTGAACTCATCAGCGGTGCGCGCCAGAGTACACAATACTGAACTCATCAGTGGTGCGAGCCAGAACACACCGTTCCGAATTTCATCAGTGGTGCGCGCCAAAGCGCACTTCTCATAACTCATCAGTGGTGTGCGCTTGAACCCACAGTTCCGAACTCATCAGTGATGCGCGCCAAGGCGCATAGTTCCAAACTCATCGATGGTGCGTGCCATAACGCACAGTTCCGAACTCATCAGTGGTGCGAGCCAGAGCGCAGAACTCATCAGTGGTGCGCGCCATAATGCACAGTTCCGAACTCATCTGTGGTGCACGCTAGAGCGCACTGCTCAGAACTCATCAGTGGTGAGCGCACAGTTTCGAACTCATCAGTGGTGCACGCCAAGGCGCATAGTTCCAAACTCATCGATGGTGCGTGCCAGAACGCACAGTTCCGAACTCATTAGTGGTGCGCGCCAGAGCGCACTGCTAAGAACTCATCAGTGGTGAGCGCCAAAACGCACAGTTCAGACGCTACTCTTAAGCGTATGCAATCATGTGACCCTCAAGTTTAGGGTATAGCCTTCAAGCATGGAATGGGCAGGTACATGGTCCAAACACGATGCTCAGTTCTCGTATAGCCCTTAGATGAAGTGAGGGCGGATACACAGTCCAATACGCAGTTTGCATATAGCCCTCAAGTGTGGCGAGGGCGGATACTCAGTCCAATACTCAGTTTGCATATAACCCTTAAGTATGGCAAGGTCGGATACTCAGTCCAATACTCGGTTTGCATACAGCCCTTAAGTATGGCAAGAGCGGATGCACAGTCCAATACTCAGTTTGCATACTGCCCTTAAGTTTGGCAAGGGCGGATGCACAGTCCAATACTATACTCAGACTTTATACATGCTGCAGCATTATGCATAGCCATCTAAGGGTTCAAAAGTTCAGACGACAATGATAGCGAGCAAGAACGGCGACGGCTCGTGAACGCCCATCAACTATGTGAGTCAAAGTGAGTGACCATAACCCATGAGAGGTAAGTGAACGAGAAGGAGGTAACTGAGATAAATAGAGGAAAAAGAGGAAAAGAAAGGGAGAGAGAAAGAGAAGGTGAGGGGCAGAAAACTGCAGGAGATAGGTGACTAGGCGAACTCCCAAGACATTTTCCCCTGCCAACCTTACTCCTCCCTTTCCTTACCTCTGCCCTTACTTGCCTCGATTTGACCCTCTCTTGACCATAGCTCCTGCCTCTTCTTGCGTCTCAGATGGCACGTCACTGCTTCTTGTGCATTTCGCTCCTTCTCTTGCCGTTCTGCCAGCACTGCCGCGCTCCCGCAAGTAAGGGTTATGATCTCCCTTGTGTCGTCTGTCTTTTTGGGTGACGTGGCCTCTCTTTTATAATGGAGAGGCCAGGTGATCGGGGCTGAGTGCTGCAGTCCCAAGGTCGGGGCTGTGGTCAAACTCTAGACCGGGCCTGTGCTAAAAATAGCAGCAGTCCCGACCTCGGGATACGAACAGTCAGTCCTATTCTTAGAACGGGACTGGCGCAGGCCCAGTTCTCGGTAGATGAATTGTCAGTCCCACGCTAAAAATAGCGTGGGGCTGTGTTATTTTTAGAATGGGACTGGCACAGGCCCAGTTTCCGGTAGATGAACAGTCAGTCGCACGCTAAAAATAGTGTGGGGCTGTGTTATTTTTAGAACGGGACTGGCATAGGCCCGACTTTGGGAAACGGATAGTCAGTCGCGTGCTAAAAATAACACATGACCCTATTTTAATTATTCGGGCCTGGCTGTTCATCTATATGGCTACTTAGGGCTGTTCCTTTCCTGGCCGAGTTACGCAGTCGTGTCGGTCCGGTCCCAACCGGTCAAACTTGAATATCTCACTAACCCATGGTCCGTTTTAGGTGCCGTTTGAACCGGACTCCACTAATTGACTCATTGGGGTCGAGTCGGTCCAGTCCAATGGGGACGGTTAGGTCTCTGGCGGACCGTACCACCTCGCCGTCTTTCCAATGATTTTGCCCCAAGGGATGTCTAACCGAAGTACTAGGGTCCAGTTTGACCATGACCGCGGACGCAATTTTGGCGCATCGCGGAAGTTGACCGTGGTGAGTCAATTTCCGCTGCTGTGCCGCATCATTTTCCGACAACCATACCAAACCCCATTCCTGGCGTCCTCGCCAGGTTCAGGCCACTATAAAGGCCTAATAGCTTATTCATTCTCGCTATTCACACTCTAACTCATATCGTCAAGTGTGCGGCGCTATTACGATCTTGCTATTACCGCTACCTTCATCGCTCTCGACTTGCTTGCGTTCTTATCGCACTAGCGCTAACTATCGCGCAATGCTTATCGTCGCGAAGCGCTTATCATTGCGCAGATAATCAGATTTGCCATGGCGCTAAAGACGTGAGGCTCGGGCGCTGGACATAGGAGAGGAGGTCGAAAGGGGAAGGCGGCTGATCGACCGATCGATCTGACGTACGAAGGGGAGAGATCCGAAGAGGAGGAGGAGGAGGTGAGATGGGGAGGAACGCGCTTGCGCTATCGCTCAGAGGACCAGCGCGAGCGCACGCCGTCGCCTAGGTCTATGATGTACTATGCGTATAAATACGAGCAGCGCTACGGCTCTCCGCCTCCACATTTCGATCCGCCCTCTCGATCATACCCTTCACCATACCACCCTTCTTCCTCTACTCAACCATCTCC